AATGATGATCCTACAGCTTCATCACTCACTGATGTGGAACATGTATGCAGCTTTGGGAGTTCTGACTTCACAACCGGCATGCATTTTTTAAAATCAGTTTTCTTCTTAAGAAGTGAAGCAAGAGAACAAGAATGTTAGACAAACAAGCTTTGTTGGGGTCCCTTGACAAACCAGCCTTCTGTAAGAAGACATACACTCTCTGGCCACTTTATTAGGTACACCTTGCTAGTACTGGGTTAGACCCCCTTTTGTCTTCCCAACTACCTTAATTCTTAGTGGCATAGCGTCAACAAGATGTTGGAAACATTCCTCAGAGATTTTGGTCCATATTGACCAAAATTACTGTTGCTTTTCTATCGTCTCGAACCAGTTTGCCCATTCTCCTCTTCCCTCAACAAGGCATTTTCATCCACACAACTGCCGCTCACTGGATATTTTCTCTTTTTCAGACCATTCTCTGTAAACCCTAGAGATGGTTGTATGTGAAAATCCCAGTAGATCAGCAGTTTTTTAAATACTCAGACCCGCCCGTTTGGCACCAACAACCATGCCATGTTCAAAAGTCACTTAAATCCCCTTTATTCCCCATTCTGTTTGGTTTGAACTTCAGCAAGTCGTTTTCACCACGTCTACATGCCTAAATGTATTGCATTGCTGCAATGTGATTGGCTGATTAGCAATTTGTGTTACCAAGCAATTAAACAGGTGTACCTAATAAAGTGGTAAGTGAGTGTATTTGCTAAGCTACAGAGAAGTTGTATTGTATCCAATGAACTCCTTACAGGCTTCCCACAGTTCATGTAGGGTGCTGTATTGAATTGGTGGATGGTGCCACCATACAATCATCTTAAAATAAAGATCTTCACCAGCTCACCTTGGTATAGTGATACTCCTGTCCTTTATTCACAAAGGGTAACAGACATCACAGCTAATGTTCCCAGATCTCAAAGAATTCCTTTTCAAGGATCATATTCAGAGATAATATGAAGTCCTGAAATGTTGGTCTGTGGTGTGTAGCACTCTACAGTAGGCTACAAGTGTTAGGTAAATTTAGTTTTTTGGCCTCCTTGTAATCAGGAAGAGCAGTGAGTTTGTTAGCATCTGTTATAGGTTCTGTTAGTGCAGGCTCAGCTACTTTCCCTTGCATTCCAGGATATAGTGGGCAGAAGAGCTTCAAAACCCAGGCCTGCGTATTCATGACTCTTCAGCTAATCCCTGGTCAGTGGAGTGAGTGGCCAGAGAGGGGTATAAATAGGCTGGGGCCTGGAACAGCTTCTTCTTGTTCATGGGGGAGTAAGATCCAGCCTGAAGGCTGAGACATCCCTGGGAGAGTACCTGCTTGGACTGGGAGACTTCCGGCCTTGCCTCCTGGAAGCATTCAGAAAACTCATATGAGGATCCAGGTTATAGGCAACAAGTACAGAAGCTGACTGGTACTGCAGGTGGCAACACAGTATACAGGGCACAGCGAGTATCTGCCATGTGGATTTCAAAGACATTTCTTTGCCCTATTTGGGAGCACTCACAGCAGTACATTCAGGATTATACCCCTGTTGAGGAGTTCCTGTATGAAATCAAGTTACTATTCACATTCAAGAGAGTGCTTCTCACCCTGAAGGAGCAGATCAGATTTAGAGTCCTTCATTACAGTTGTGTTTTGGAGTATCCCAAGGCTCACCCTCACCCCGTCCAAGTTTTAGTCAGCAAATAAACTGCAAAAAAAGACAAGAACAACCTGTTTCCTGACTTGAGTGACTGACCTACCTACCATGTTTCTGGCTGCCATGTAACTATCAGGGAATAGAACCTGGGACCAAACAGCCAAACCAATCCCAGATCTGCATTACAGATGTCTGTTACTTTATGTGAATAAATGACAAGATTACCACAATACCAAAAAGGTGTGCTGGTGCAGATCCTTGTTTTACAACGTTCGCTAAGCTGGCAGCTTCGATTATCATCAACCATGAGGATTTTGATCTACTAAAAAGTCTAAATAGAGAGCCAATTCAGACACTATGCACAGTCCTGACCATTCCTTTTCTTCAGTACAACCTGGTCAAGGCTGTGATTGAATAGTCATCTCTCTTCTCTCACCACTAAATCACCATATTAAGTATGTTAGATTCATAGCACCATGCAATGCAGTAAAGTTTGATTGGCTTTCAGTGCTGCCTTTCCTTGTCAATGTTGATGTCCAGGAAATATCAGGATAGTACAAATAAAGTTCTCCTTTTTGAATGTACAGGTGAAACTCATTACATGCAAAACAAGATAGTTCAAGTTCAAGCCATGATTTGTCATAATTGTGATGATTATGGCTTACAGCTCATGAAAACCCCAAATCCACAATCTCAGAAAATTGGAATATTGTGAAAAGGTGCAATATTCTCGGCTCAAAGTGTCCCACTCTAATCAGCTAATTAAGACATAACGCCTGCAAAGGGTTCCCAAGCCTTTAAATGGTCTCTCAGTCTGGTTCAGTAGGAATCACAATCATGGGAAAGACTGCTAACCTGACAGTTGTGCAGAAAACCATCATTGACACCCTCCATAAGGAGGGAAAGCCTCAAAAAGGTAATTGCAAAAGAAGTTCGATGTTCCCAAAGTGCTGTATCAAAGCACATTAATAGAAAGTTATGTGGAAGGGAAAAGTGTGGAAAAAAAAAAAAGGTGCATATGCAGCAGGGATGACCTCAGCCTGGAGAGGATTGTCAAGAAAAGGCCATTCAAAAGTGTTGGGGACTTTCACAAGGAGTGAACTGAGGCTAGAGTCAGTGTATCAAGAGCCACCACACACAGACAGATCCTGGACATGGGCTTCAAATGTCGTATTCTTCTTGTAAAGCCACTCCTGAACAACAAACAATGTCAGAAGCATCTTACCTGGGCTAAAGAAAAACAGACCTGGTCTGTTGCTCAGTGTTACAAAGTCCTCTTTTCTGATGACAGCAACTTTTGCATCTCATTTGGAAACCAAGGACCCAGAGTATGGAGGAAGAATGGAGAGGCACACACTGCAAGATACTTGAAGTCCAGTGAGGTTTCCACAGTCTGTGTTGATTTGGGGAGCCATGTCATCTGCTGGTGTTGGTCCACTGTGCTTCATTAAGTCCAGGGTCAACGCAGCCATCTAACAGGAGATTTTGGAGCACTTAATGCTTCCTTCCACATACAAGCTTTATGGGGATGCTGACTTCATTTTCCAGCAGGACTTGGCACCTGCCCACACAGGCAAAAGCACCAAAACCTGGTTCAATGACCGTAGGATTACGGTGCTTGATTGGCCAGCAAACTCACCTGACCTGAACACCATAGAGAATCTATGGGGCATTGCCAAGAGAAAGATGAGACACATGAGACCGAACAATGCAGAAGAGCTGAAGGCCGCTATTGAAGCATCCTGGTCTTCCATAACACCTCAGCAGTGCCACAGGCTAATAGCTTCCATGCCACGCTGCATTGAGGCAGTAATTGCTGCAAAAAGGGACCCACACCAAGTACATATGCATGCTTATAACTTTTCAGCGGTCCGATATTGTCCTATGTACAATCCTTGTTTTATTGTTTTGCATGTAATATTCTAATTTTCTGAGATTGTGGATTTAGGGTTTTCATGAGCTGTAAGCCATAATAATCACAATTATGACAAATCATGCCTTGAACTATCTTGCTTTGCATGTAATGAGTCTAGCTCATATTAGTTTCACCTTTTAAGTTGCATTACTGAAATAAAAGGAACTTTTGCACGGATATTCTAATTTTTCGAGTTTCACCTGTACATTCAAAAAGGAGAATCTGTCACATTACCCAATAAGATAAAAATTACAGTTTCTCTTCAAAGAGCATACTGCCACCAGGTGATACTTCCCTTGTGGAATCCAGAGTTCCAACAGAGCCTTGGGGAAATACCTGATGCTTCTAGGAATGAGGGAGCATGTGACCCAGAAATCAAAACTTGGGTCTAAGTGGCCCCAACCATGTTACCCAAAAGGAGGGAGTTGTTAATCCTGTGTAAGTTCCAACACCATCTGACGTAGAGTTTAGGCAGTGGACTCTTGGCCTTGATGAAGAAACAAAGTGGCAAGGGTGTTCGTAGGAAGAAAAGATGAATTGGTGGGGGTTGTTCTTTCAAAGACCTGTCATTTTTCCCTGAATGGCTAAAGTGACCGTTGTTTTAAGTTCAACAATTGCATAACTGGATTAACTCAAGTTATTTTATATTTGCCTACACTTCCACTAAAAAAAAAAAAAAAAAAAAAAAAAAAAAAAAAAACACAAAAAAAAACAAACAAACAAACACAAACAAACAAACAAACAAAAAAAAAAAAAAAAAAAAAAGACACCCCACACAACAATATATCCTCCTTGCCTACTCTTTAAAGCATGAGTAGGGGAAAAAAAAAAAAAAAAAAATCTCATCTAATATATATATATATATATATTATATTTTTTATATTTCCCCCCCCCCCCAATACATCCCCTAATCCTTTCTTGCTAACATAATTCACAGATTTCAGATTCCAGCCAATGGCTTTAATAAAATACATATAGAGTATGTTTTTAATTAAATTCACTAGGCATACAAATTAAAAGAGATGCTTCTGTTTTTATTAAAAAAAAAGAAAAACTATATATTTGGCAAATGATAGACATTCATCTTTCAAATACCACATCAAAATAACACTAGGAAATGTTTGGCAGATTTATTCTTCTTAGTCTACAGCTTCTTAAAAATCGTTCCCTTCTTCTCACTCACACATTACACATACAAATAAATAAAAATTTGCATAACATGGCACCCAATCACAGATGGTCCGAGATATCTGCATTCAAGCACTTCAGGAAGTAAGGCTGGTATATGGCTTTGCGATTTTTTGTTTTTATTGCACAGGACTCATGATTACGTTGCCTTTTGTTATGTAGGAATTCATAGGTCTTCAATGCAAGACATTTTCTAACGCTAACAAAATTGCATGGAAAGGCCCCATGTTGGAATGTTATTTCCCTGGAGAACCGGGGTAAGGAGGTGGAGCAGGGTATTGTACAGACACTGGTGGAGATGGTGTGTAGGCTGGAGGAAGGTCCATAGGATACTCCATCTCAAAATCATAACTATACGGTGGCGGAGAAACTGAAATGAAAAGCAAAAATATATAAGAGAAAATTACATCAGTATTAAAAAATCACTGCACACACTGAAGAGGATTTTTTTTTTTAAATCGTAACAAAAAAAAAAAAAAAAAAAAAAAGAAAAAAGGAAAAAAAAAAAAAAAAGAAAAAAAAAAAAGGAAAAAAGAGAAGAAGGAAGAAGGAAGAAGGAAGAAGGAAAAAGGAAGAAGGAAGAAGGGCAAACTTGGAGCTGTTGATTAAACAAAAACTTTGACTGGTAAACATGGACAACAGCTTTACTTCTTTTCCCCCCCAATTTGCTTTCTATTCAAAATTGTTATATTTCAATTGAGAACAATAAAAAATGAATAAAAATCACAGACTCAACCCAAAGGCTTAATTTACAGTTGTGTTTTGGTGGTTATATCCAGTTTATTAAAAAAAGGTCAATACACCCAAAAAGTCGTATCTTAATTATAGGCGGAGTTTGGAGACCCCTGGGGAAGAGGAAGAGGAGGAGGAGAAGAAGACCATTACCAGACCTACAAGCAAGTGCAACTCCCATTCTGATCCACCCAACGGTCAATAACTAGTAGCATAATTAACATAAAGGGGTTAGACAACAAATAAAAAAAAAAAAAAAAAAAAAAAAAAAAAAAAAAAAAAAAAACGTAACAATATGTGATTTGCAGGTGTGAAAGACGTCATGTTTCGCATTCAAAAGCAGATGTAGCATTCTTTTGTTTCCACTGTGTGATGAGACACCTAGCTAACAGGTGGGAAGCCTCACTTTCGTCATTCACTGCATGCGCTGCTAGTAATATGGAGTCATGTCAGAGCTTACTGAGCTTCAAAGAGTTAAATTTGTTGGTGTTGCTTAGTTGATGCCTCTGTGACTGAAGTTGTCAATTTGTTTTGCGGTGTCGCGAGTTATGATATCAAAGGGTATGATGGCATATACAGTTTACAGAAAACACCGTCTGATAACCGTAAGTGCGATCGACATGGTCAACTGTCCGAAAGAGACAAATTGTACAGGACTGCGACCCAGAATAAGATAGGATAACTGCTGTAAAAGTGATTGCAACGCTCAATCTCAGTCCTGTGAAGACAGAGATTGAGCACTGCAGTCTTCATGGGACTCAATCTTCATAGGCGTGAGAAGAAAACTGCTGCAAAAGTGACTGCAAAGCTTTTTATTTCGGGTCACAATCCTGTACAATGTTCTTTCATCTCAGTCAGTTGACCATGTCGACCGTGCTTATGGTTATGAACCGGTGGTTTCCCGGAAACTGTATTTGCTGTCATAACCTTTGATACTGTACCTAAAGACACGGCAAACAAACTGGCAACTTCAGTCACAGAGGCACCAGCTAAGCGAGCTCTTTGAAGCTCAGTAAGCTCTGACATGACTCCATCTTACTAGCAGTGCATGCAGTGAATGACAAAAAGGGAGGCTTCGTACCCGTTAGCTAGGTGTCCCATACAGCGGAAGCTAGGGGTCATTATACAGCGGAAGCAAAAAGAATCTTACATCATTTTCGCTTTCAATGTGAAACACATCACTTTCCCACCTGCAAATCATGTATATAGTGTTTAAATTTTTGTCTAACCCCCCGTATATGTGCATGTGTAAATACATCAGTATATAAAGTCATTTACAATTTGACCTTCACTTTTTTTTTTTTTTTTTTACGCACACAATTCCAGTACAAAAAGTGTCAATAACCCTATTGGGTATGATGTATTTTGACAATTGCTTTCATCCATTTGGACCTGAAACTGATGTACTCCTTAATTGTGTAATGAGCAAGAAATGACAAAAACTAGACCATAAAATAATGTGTAATGTTTCTTTTTAGAGGATTGTTATTTCTGCTTTCAATTGATAAAACCCCTATGGAAAATAAAGTATCAATACCTCAACTTACTCATTAAAAAAAATAAAAAGAAATTTTAACTTTTGAGTATATGTTAGTGTCCTAAGGGGGTTAATGTCCAAACATTCACTATTAATTCCACTGAGCACCCTAAAAGTATAATATAAGAGGAGATGAAACTATTAATGAAATTATGCTGTGAATAACACTTCCTGTGCCTTTGTCCACCCTCATTTCTCCGTTGTACCTATGGAGGAAGCCATGGTTTTCACTTAGGTTGGACTTCAAACATTTCTGATCTCTATGGTATGTGGGATTGATGGAAATAGTAGTTTACACAAGAAAGAAGGATGTTTGGGTTTTCATTTCAGTTCATAGGCAGTGGCAATGAAATTCCATTTCTGGCAAGAACAATGGGTATTTTTTGTCCTTGGTGAAAATCTTAGCCATAAAGAAGAACTAAAGCAGCCACCCCATCTAAATACCTGTAAGCTGCAATATAGTCTTTATTTTTCTGACTAAGAATGTTCTCTGGGACTAGAATATCCCTTTAGTGGCACACATCACCCTTACCTGAGTACGAGTTGATCGTATTGATATGTGTGGCTCGGACGACTCCTACACGGGTTCCTCGGCTGCTCTTCATACACATACAGATACAGATTGCGATCCCGGCGATTACTCCCATTATGAACACAATTCCAAACACAATCCCCGCTATCGCTGTGCCACTGAAACAGAGGATTTAAAGGTTAAGAAGTCCTTCTAATATAGCTAAAAAGTGTAATTTGTGCAGTCTATAGGTAGAGCTGGGTATCCAATAAACCTGCTCATGTTAGTTTACAGCAGTATTAAAACCAAAAAACATTTACTATATTGCAGCTTACCAATTTCCTAAGATGCGATAGCTGCATTCATTTTCTTTTTTAGGCTCTCTTCTACTTTCATCTGAAGATTCAGCCAGAAAGTCTGTTTTTCAAAAGCACAAGCTCTCCAGCAGAATGTAATCAGTTTGCTTGGATGAGACAAAATACATTTAAAACTGGCAGCGGTGCTTAAAATGATCAGCTTTTATCTATTCATGGAAAACCTTTATCCCCAAAAAAAAAAAAAAAAACCCATACTATTTGTTGTAATGGATTATGAAGTGTGAACTGGAGTTTGGCTTAAATTTTTTTTTGTGTATTTAAATCTGCTAATACAATATGCCTCTTCCCACAGACTAACAATGCTGCTGTCTGCTGTGCCTCCTGTGCTCATTCATCTTGAGTGAAGGCACGCTAATACAGGAGGTGTGTTACTGGCCAGATCACCAGGTGAAAACAAAAAATGCCAAGGAAAAGAATCCAGCCACCAGATCTAATGATTGATAAGCTGCATTATAATATATTTTTGGATTTGGGTTTATTAATCGCTTTAGGATCACTACATGGAATTTACAGACAATGGAAATAATTACATTGAAAAGCTTCAGTGATGTATAGGTGATTTGCAATCCTGTAGGGAGTGGGCAAGGTTTGAGTGACAAAAAAAAACAAAAAAAAAAAACAAAAAAAAAAAAAAAAAAAAAAAAAAAACAAAAAAAAAAAAAAAAAACTATACTTTTTACAATAGTAGATTTAACCAGCAGGTGGTGCTACAAGGAAAATCTGATTCCAGGCAGATAAAAAAAAGCCACAAAAAATTAAAGCGGACTGCAATTATTACATTTATTTTTTAAATGCAGGTAACTTAAATTTGACCTGGTATATGCCTTTAGACTTCTGTGTGAGCAGAAGCAGCACAAGGAGCCAATCAGTTTATGTGCCAACAAGAAGCATGCTTATAGGGAGGAGAAAGCAGAGTGGACAGTGAAAGGAGAAGCAGAGCATTGATGAATTTCAGTCACAGTCACAGCTGGGGTGGGCAGATGTCTGTTTTAAAGATCCTGGGGGAGCAGGGCTTAGCCAAGCCTCGCTCTGTGTGTCTTATAGACACACAACGCTGGCTCAGGTGCTAGCCCACAGAAATGTCCCCATAGCATTGGAAGGAGCCAGGACCCCAGGAGGAGGGGGGCTGCTCTGTGCAAAACAATTGCACAGAGTGGGTAAGTATAAACCTGTTTCTTTTCTAAATAAAGATTTTATTAAAAAGTTATTGTAAACAAAATGATGGCAATCAGGCTTATTTAAGATAAGAGCACTTTTGCAGTAAAACCCATACCTCCCCGGATACCCAGCTCATCAAAGCTTTCCATAGAATTACAAACCACAGATTCAGGCATTTTACCCAAATCATTTTTTTATTTACTATGAGCAAGAATTAAAAAAAAATATAGTTTTAAAAATGTGAAAAAATGTACACTGTATAGGTATTCTTCGGTTGTATTTTAATGTTCTTTTGGAGACGGTTTAATAGTTTATTGTAAAGAGTCTGCTGATGGCGGCGTTTTAGCACAATTGGAAATGTACACACCGAGCAGTCAAATTCAATATTTCAACAAAAAGGATTATAAAATATAGATTTTGCGCTTTTTTTTTTTTTTTTTTTTTTAAACATGCCACTAAAAATTTGTGAATTGTGTGTCCTACTCTGTAAAATACACAAAGATTATTTTAACAAAGTCTGAAATGTGATTATGCATCCTAAAGAACTCCAATCCCACAAATGCCACCTGTCGTACGTTATTTGGCAGCACTCACTCTCTTTGCTTCAGGTTTTTTTCCTATTGAGACAGCTAGTGGCATGCCACCCCTCTGTTGGAGCAGCTCGAGAGGCTTCAGAAAGTCAACAGTCAGCTTGTAAAATACACATATTCCCAGCTGCAGCAGCCTGGAGTGTGCAAAAGTGCACACTGGCAGAGATGTGAGCCTTATGTTGGCAATACCAAAAGGGTTAAAGGCTACGTTCATACAATAGTCAACAGTCAAGGTACCCCAGTAGGGATTAATAACTGAGCAGATTTGTAAAATGATCATTAACCTTTGGGGAGCGGGTACCCAAATTTGACAGGTACCCGCTCCTACTTCCGCTGCGATCCCCTCTCCGTAGTCTTCTGGGACACGCGACAGGTCCCAGAAGACTACGGGGCCATTCACAAAGCGCAGCGCTTCTCATGCATGTGCAGTGGGCACCTGGCGGTGAAGCCGCAAGCTGTCACAGCCAGGTGCCCACACTGAAGATGCCGGGGAGAGAAGACAGCCGGTGAAACGACGAGCCATGGTGAGGAGACTGCTGGATCTAGGGCAGGTGTCTGTATTTTAAAAGTCAGCAGCTACAGTTTTTGTAGCTGCTACAGTTTTTGTAGCTGCTGACTGATTTTATTTTTTTCAGCTGGAACTCCGCTTTAAGAATTAGTGGATGTGGTAGAAATAATTACCACCAGTTCACCGATAAGCACACTGATGGGTTTAGTTCCACTTACATTTTTGCCAATTTAATGATTTCCCAAAACAGGTTCTGTTTTTCAAGGTATGCCATGAATAGCAATTGTCACAGTTTCATGTGCTTTCAAAACGAATGGTCAAGCAATCAACTGGCTGGTGTCATTGCCAAATCACTATGACAATGGAATATTAAACAGAGGCTAAGATGGCAGTTTCCTTTTCTGTCAAGGATAGGAGGGTTTAGTTCTTTGTAAGGCTTAATGCCAGATGCTCCTAAATTTGAGTTTAGGAGCTGCTCGTGTGCATGATTTTGTCAAAGCTCCTAAACTCAAACTCCATAAAAACCAAATGTGTCCATGTTCACATAGGCTTTTACTAGGAGTTTAGGAGCTGTCGCTTTTAGGGAGGTTAAACCTCCCTCTCCTGAACGCGGAACAATCACGTTCAAGATAGGAATGTTTTGACTGTTGACCATGGGGGAAAAACGTGGCAACCGTGGTACTGTGTTTTCCTGCGGCCGGTGGTCAGGGTAGGCTCATTTACATGAAGCCTTAGGGCCAATTCTTGCAGACAGACAGCAGTGTTCAGAGTGTAGTATTTTGGGTTGGGAAGCTGTCATGAACGTGACAGCTTCCAGCACAGGACACATGGTTGATAGGATGCCGGAGTCGGTCAGCTTCCTAGTAATTGACGACACACCCCTTGCCCGGTTTAACTGATGGGCAACCAGGAAGTACCCCATCTTACAGCTGAATGTAAACAAAACGGGGACACTTACTAACACCATTACCCACGTATGGTATTGGCTATATTTGAGTAATAAGAATCTGTTGGCCAGTCGCTGAATGGGGACAAAGATCCACCATTGGTTGCCATTAGCAACATGCACCGAGGATAGTAGTGTCTGAGCTCAGTGCTGCCCCCCCCCCATGCCTTCAAGATTTGTCCTATGGAGATAGGATAAAATATTAAGACGTCAGACATTCTTTATGAACTCTCCAGAATGTTGGGAAGTCACAGCAATCTCTTCTGGTTATTGGGATTCCTCTCTCCACCTTGTTCAGATCATAATTCCCCCTAATTTACCATGCACAGAGGAGTTAGGACCTCCATAGAATCAAAAATATTTAAAAAAGAAAAAAACCCACTTACAGAATAATGCACCATAATAGATCCATGCGGATGGACATTGTGTTTGCACTGCTGTCCCACCAGAGTCCCGTAGCAACAGCACTGCCAGATAACATGATGATATCAGCATGTCTCCACCCACTGAATTAATTTTGTCATGTGACTTCATCAGGAACAATACTTTTGGGAGGTTTTTTTTTTTTTTTTTTAATGTTCAACTGGGGGAAAGCCTAAAAAGGAGTTGCAGTGGATAGAAAGTGAAACAAAGGGCAACAGCGGTGACTGATAATACAACACGCTTACTGTCCATTAATTATAGTGGTCTACAGGGGGATTCTAAGTGGAACAAGGTGGGAGAAGCAGCCCAATCAATAGAAAGATCACTGTGATCTACAAATATTGATTGTTATTGGGCCAATAAAGTGGCTGTAAACCTCAGATATGAAATATGAAAGCATATCCCTGTATAGTGTGTACTTGTCTAAATTAGGAGCACTAAGCGCCATTTGTGTATGCTGCATCGATCCTCTGCTATCAGCACGAGTCACTTCTGATACGTTTTCCTGACACCAGGAAAAAAGAAAAAAAAAAAAAAAAAAAAAAAAAGTGACAGTGGAGGGACCTCCAGCAAATTGACAGCCTAAGCTCTGTTCCTGTAAGCCGTGTGGGGGGCCTCAGCACCTCACTGAGCTCTGCAGTGTGTAACTTCAGCTCTCTGCCCCCTTTTTTTTTTTTTTTACGGATCTATAAATTCAGTACTTTGAATGGATGTAGAGAAGACTGCAGATAAACAGGCACAACTTACATAGGAGGATTGGCTTCATGTATGTGTAGGCCAGTCACTTCACTGTATACTATATGTAAGAGTTTGCAATCACTTCAGTCCATCTCAGAGGAAGGGAAAAATTCTTCCTTGCACTGGGTCTTCCCCTACACTGCAACGGTTAACTGCTCAGTCTACGGGACCAGGAACTGCAGTTTTACTTACCCGATCCTCGTTTCCCCAGCAGCAGACTCTGGAAGTGGATGGTTTCCTCAATTCCAATGCAGGGCTAGGAGCTCTGCATTGTACTTGATGATATCAGAGGCAGGGCCATGGATAAGGGGGTACCACCAGTCCTCTTGTACGGGGCCCAGGCAGCTGGGGGAATCAGATGTGGGCACAGAGGGTGATCTGCATGACATGGGGGGG